GGCCCTTCTACACTGCCATATAATCCAGTTCAAAGCAGATAATCTGGTTTTTATGTGGCAGGGTAGAAGGGGCCTGAGGCACTGATTCAGAAAATTGCTTTGGATAGACCACATCAGCTCTAAGTTTCTTACATTTGGGTATCATGTGGCCCTTCCGCACAGCCATATAACTCAGAATATCAAGACAGACTGCATGGAACGCCGTTACCTTCCCGCTGGAGTAGACCTATTGATGTACTCACATTTGCATGTTTTTGAACTGCTAGGTTGGCCGAAGCTGGGGCTGACAGTGGAAGCTCACGCCGCTCACCAGAATCGAACCTGCGACCTTTCAGTCAACAAGCTCAGCAGCTCAGCGCTTTAATCTACTGAGCCACCGGGGTGTCCCCCCCTTTTTTAGAATAGTTACCTTGAATCTTTTGCTTCCCCCCCCCCCCTTCTGCCAATAAACCTCCTTCCAGGTAAGCCAAAGCACATTTTTGGCCACTAGGGGGAGACGTTTTATGAAAAAACTTCATTAGCAAGTCTCAAATTAAGAGTTTGGTCAGTTTTGCCATCTCTTTCTCTCTTTCTCTTAATTATTGGAAGCGTAAAACCAATTTATACCCACGCTTAAGAAGAAGCTTAGACTGCATTCTGAGGCCTCTTCTACACTGGCATACAATCCAGTTTCTGATCCCAAATAATCTGCTTTGAACTGGATTATGTGGCCATGTAGTTCGTGAGCAGATTATTTGGGATGACATAAAATCTGCTATGAGTCCCATTTGGGGTTGAGGTAGAGCAAGGTAAAATACAGTAAATAAACAATCTGGATTATATGTCAGCATATATCAATCCTGAGGGTGGTTGCCATGAGACCTTTCATCTTCCCAGAATAAGATCTGATAATAAACACCACACCAGGAGAAGAAAGGAAAGCTTAGAGAAGACAATGATGCTGGGGAAAAAGGAAGGAAAAAGGAAGAGGGGCCAACCAAGGGCAAGATGGATGGATGGGATCCTTGAAGTGACTGGATTGACCTTGAAGGAGCTGGGGGTGGTGACGGCTGACAGGGAACTCTGGCGTGGGCTGGTCCATAAGGTCACAAAGAGTTGGAAATGACTGAACAAATGAACAACAACAACAATAAACACCTACACTCAGAAAGAAACCTTACATCTTCATGGCCAGCATACTATATAGTCAGCCCTCCTCATTTGCAGGATTGACTTTTACGGGTTTGATTATATGCAGATTTGATTAAAATGACCATTCTAGGGATCTCTACTTGGTCCTTCCAGCAGGCGTTGCTGGAGGCACCTTGTGCTGTGTGTAAGCCACCCTGAGTCCCTTTGGGGAGATGGTGGATACAAGAATAAAGTTATTATTATTATTATTATTATTATTATTATTATTATTATCATTATTATTATCATTATCACCATCACCATCACCATCATCATTATTTGATACATAATAAGATTTATACACAGCAAACAAGATCACTATGCTGGCTTTTGTATTGGATCACACATCAGATATTTCCCAAGTGTCTAGGACTGCATGATATATTGGTGAATAATGTGTGCAGATCCCAGTAAGGTGGTCTTTTGCAGCTGGCAAATGGTAATTTTGTCAGCGCCGATTGTGTTTAAGTGCAGGCCAAGGTCTTTAGGCACTGCACCCAGTGTGCTGATCACCACTGGGACCACCTTGACTGGCTTGTGCCAGAGTCTTTGCATTAATAAGTAATAATAATAATAATAATAATAATAATAATAATAATAATAATAGGGTGCCATGCCAAAAGATCTCAGCTGGCATTTGGAAACAATAAACATTGACAAAATCACGATCTGCAGGATATTCTCATTTCAAATGTGTCCAGGAACATGCTGGGCAAGTGCAAACAGGTTTATTTAAGATAGTGCTATTTAGAGCATATATAGATGTCAGAGACAGACAATGTGGTATGCTGGTTTGGGTATTGTTCACCATTTTAAACACAGGAAATTGCTGTAATTATTATTATTATTAGTATTAGTATTATTATTATTATTATTTGAAACACAACAAGATGAGTCCACAGCAAACAAGATCACTCTGCTGGTTGTTGTGATGTGTATATACACTGCGGGTGTATATACACTGCGACAAATTTGAATGCTGTGGAATCATGGGAGCTGTGGTTTGGCAGAGCACCACCACTTTTTGACAACGGAGGTTAAGGCCTTGATATTCTGGGTTATATGGCTGTGTGAAAGGGCCCAAAGATGTAAAACCACAGCTCCCATGATTATGGGCCCTTCCACGCAGCCCTACATCCTAGAATATTGAGGCAGTAATCATAGAATCATAGAGTTGGAAGAGACCTCATGGGCCATCCAGTCCAACCCCCTGCCAAGAAGCAGGAAAATCAAATTCAAATCACCCCTGAGGTGATTGGTTTCCAGGTGGAAGGCAGTCCCGGTCAGGGTTGGCTTGACGCACCTTCCTCTTGGCACATTTCTCTCTTTCGCTCTCCATTCGTGCCTCTTCAACTTCTACAGCACTGCTGGTCACAGCTGACCTCCAGCTGGAGTGCTCAAGGGCCAGGGCTTCCCAGTTCTCAGTGTCTATGCCAGAGTTTTTAAGGTTGGCTTTGAGCCCATCTTTAAATCTCTTTTCCTGTCCTCCAACATTCTTGAGTGCGACCCGCCGCGGGCCCTTCCACACAGCCCGCTATCCCACAACATCAAGGCAGAGAATCCCCACACTATCTGAGTGTGGATAACCCAGTTCAAAGCCGATATTGTGGGATTTCCTGCCTTGATAGTCTGGGATCGAGGGCTGTGTGGAAGGGTGACTCTGTTGGTCTCTTGGACATCTCAGCGGCTTTCGATACCATCGATCATGGTATCCTTCTGGGTCGACTCTCTGGGATGGGTCTCGGAGGCACGGCTTTGTCGTGACTCCGGTCCTTCCTGGAGGGCCGTTCCCAGATGGTGAAGCTGGGAGACACCTGCTCGGACCCCTGGCCTTTGACCTGTGGGGTCCCGCAAGGTCTCCATTCTGTCTCCCATGCTTTTCAACATCTACATGAAACTGCTGGGAGAGGTCATCCGGAGTTTTGGAGTTGGGTGCCATCTCTATGCAGATGACACACAACTCTACTACTCATTTCCACCCAATTCCAAGGAGGCCTCTCGGGTGCTGGACGAGTGCCTGGCCGCTGTGTCTATCTGGATGAGGAAGAACAAGCTGAAGATCAATCCCGACAGGCCAGAGGTCCTCCTGGTCGATCGTAAACCTGACCGGGGTATAGGGTGGCAACCTGTGTTGGACGGGGTTACACTCCCCCTGAAGCCACAGGTCCGCAGTTTGGGAGTCCTCCTGGATTCATCGCTTACGCTTGAGGCTCAGGCGTCGGCGGTGTCCGGGAGGGCTTTTGCACAATTGAGACTCATGCACCAACTGCGACCGTACCTCGCAAAGGCTGATCTGGCTGGGCTGGTTCATGCCTTGGTCACCTCTAGATTGGACTACTGTAATGCGCTCTACGTGGGGCTGCCCTTGAAAATGGCTCAGAAATTTCAACTGGTCCAACAGGCAGTGGCCAGGATGTTAACTGGTGCTCCTTACAGAGAGAGGCCAACCCTCCTGTTCAAGGAGCTCCACTAGCTGCCGTTTATCTTCCGAGCCCAATTTAAGGTGCAGGTGCTTACCTACAAAGCCCTGAATGGTTTGGGACCATCCTACCTGTGTGACCGCATCTCCGTCTATTAACCCACGCGCTCACTTCATTCATCCGGAGAGGCCCTGCTTGTGATTCCGCCTATGTCGCAGGCATGGCTGGTGGAGACGTGAGGCAGGGCCTTCTCTGTGGTGGCCCCCCGACTCTGGAACACCTTCCCCAAAGATCTTTGACAGGCCGCTACATTGGCAGTCTTTAGAAAGAACCTGAAGACTTGGCTGTTCCAATGTGCCTTTCCAGAGTAGGAACCCTCTAACAAGTCCCAGAAGCACTATTAGAATTAAGATTGCTGCACACTGCACGCTGCACTTACCCCATAATCCTTACATACCACTTGTCACATCAGCACTTTTAATCTGTACCCATTACTCTGGCCTGGCCCAGTTTTATTGTGTCTTGGTGTATTGTTTATTGCTGTTGTTTAATATTGCTTTAATTTTTAATTTGATTTAGGTTTTGTATTGTTATGTTGTGTTTTGAGGCCTTGGCCTTTGTAAGCCGCATCAAGTCCTTCGGGAGATGCTAGCGGGGTACAAATAAAGTTAATAATAAATAATAATAATAATGTGTGGAAGGGCCCCCTCTGTCTCCTTTTTGACTATGGGCCCTTCTACACAGCCTTGTTGTTGTTGTTCATTTGTTCAGTCATCTCCGACTCTTCGTGACCTCATGGACCAGCCCACGCCAGAGCTCCCTGTCGGCCGTCACCACCCCCAGCTCCCTCAAGGTCAGTCCAGTCACTTCAAGGATGCCATCCATCCATCTTGCCCTTGGTTGGCCCCTCTTCCTTTTGCCTTCCACTTTCCCCAGCATAATTGTCTTCTCTAGGCTTTGCTGTCTCCTCATGATGTGGCCAAAGTACTTCAGCTTTGTCTCTAGTATCCTTCCCTCCAATGAGCAGCCGGGCTTTATTTCCTGGAGGATGGACTGGTTGGATCTTCTCTTATATCCCAGAATATCATGGCAGAAATCCCACATTATCTGAGTATGGACTTTGAACTGGAAAATATGGCAGTGTGGGCTCAGTGCCCTTCCACACAGCCTTTTATCCCAGAATATCAAGGCAGGAAATCCCACATTATCTGAGTGTGGACTCAAATAACCCAGTTCCAAGCAGATATCGTGGGATTTCCTGCCTTGATATTCTGGGATATAGGGCTGTGTGGAAGACACTCAATTGTAAGAGGAACTCCTTGGAAAGTCGCTCCAAAGGAAGGAAAGAGTGGACCTGCTCCCCCGCCCCTCTGTGATGGCAGGTGAAAGGGGGCGGGGCCTCACCTGTCGCTCAGGTGCAGGCAGGGAAGTACCTGTCGCGCTGCAGAGGGGGTCACGTGGTTCGGGCGGCCCAGGAGGCGGGGCCCCACTCGCCCCACTCACTATTGCGGGGAAGTTGCTCCGTCCGGACGCACAGGTCAGTCCTTTGGGGGAAGGGTGGAGGTGGAAGAGACAAATCGGTGGGAAAGAGAGAGGTTTTGGATCAATTCCCTGCCTGATCCCAGGGAGGGCTTGTTGAGACACCTGTTGAGAGGGAGGCAGGCAAGTTTGCCTCTCTTTCCCTTCCTCTTTAGGTTTAGATCCTCCTTCTTGGGAAGGCAGGCTTCCCCTTGGTCATCAATAGGGAAAAAGGTATGGCGCCCAACTCTTCCCTTTCTGCTCAGAGTTTTGTTTCTACTAGGATCATTTCTCACTCCCAACCTTCCCATTTTTAGTTACTTCTTAGGAAAGTCCAGGAAATCAGGTGTAAGGGAAGACTTATTGCCTTTTCCTCCCTCCTGATCTTCCTCCTTGGCCCACTCAGCCCTCTAATGTTACCTTTCAGAGGCCCCATTGAAGGCTCAACAGGTGACCCTTTCGAACCCCTCCTCCTTGGGTTGTGCTTTCTTAATCCTTGAAGTTGGTTAACCATTGAGCAGCCTGACTTGGTTCCTGATCGCCCAGTACTCAAGAAGAGGGGCTTTTTATGGGTGGCCCCCTTTCCTTATCTGTTGATTCATGTATTTCTTTGCATCCTGACTTTTCCCCAATTAAAGGGACACGCAACAACTCTGATCCAGAAGGGAGTCTTGCAACCGGCAGAGATTGCACAGCAGGGTGAGTCAGAAATACTTCTGCGGGCAGGAGAAACTGCAACCCAAATGAGCTGGCACCTTGCAATTGTGATGTGTGTTGCTTGTAGGCATACCGAGGTCTCATTTGGGGACAAAAATGGGAAAAGAACCCTAGAATCGGGGTATTGCGTGGTTTCAGCGTGAAAAAGATCTTGGGGTCCTCGTGGACAACAAGTTAAACCTGAGCCAACAATGTGATGTGGTGGCTAGGGCGGCTCAACCCATTACGCAAAGTAAGCATTTGCAGTATAGTTGATTTTGCCCAGGGGCGCTCTTGGGGGAAAATAGACCTTGACATATGCGAGTTATAGTTACTGGGATGTATAGTTCACCTACAATCAAAGAGCATTCTGAACTCCACCAATGATGGAATTGAACCAAATATGGCACACCGTTGAAAATTACCTATGGCCGCCTCTGTGTGATGGCAAAAAAAGCCAACAGGGTTTTGGCTTGCATCAATAGGAGTGTAATGCCTAGATCCAGGGAAGTCATGCTACCCCTCTATTCTGCCTTGGTTAGACCACACCTGGAATATTGTGTCCAATTCTGGGTGCCACAATTGAAGGGAGATGTTGATAAGCTGAAATGTGTCCAGAGGAGGGTGACTGAAATGATCAAGGGTCTGGAGAACAAGCCCTATGAGGAGCGGCTTAAAGAGCTGGGCATGTTTAGCCTGAAAAAGAGAAGCCTGAGAGGAGACATGATGAGGGCCATGTATAAATACGTAAGAGGAAGTCATAGGGAGGAGGGAGCAAGCTTGTTTTCATATTATTTATTTATTTATTTATTATATTTTCATATTGTTATGTATTCATGTGTTTTATTTAACTATGATGTTGTTTATTGTCCGCGTTTTCGGTTTGTGTTTTGGTTTTCTTTATTGTAATTGTTGTTTGGGCTTGGCATCATGTCAGCCGCTCTGAGTCACCGTTGGGGAGGTGATGGCAGGGTAACAAATAAAGATTATTATTATTATTATTATTATTATTATTATCTGTTTCTGGAGACTAGGACGCAATGGAACAATGGTTTCAAACTACAAGAAAGGAGATTCAATCTGAACATTAGGAAGAACTTCCTGACTGTGAGAGCTGTTCAGCAGTGGAACTCTCTGCCCCGGAGTGTGGTGGAGGCTCCTTCTTTGGAGGCATTTAAACAGAGGCTGGATGGCCATCTGTCAGGGGTGCTTAGAATGCTATTTTCCTGCTTCTTGGCAGGGAGGTAGACTGGATGGCCCATGAGGTGGTGTGTGCTTTATGGGCCATATGGCTGTTGTCTAGCAGCATTTTTTCCTGATGTTAAGCCTGCATCTGTGGCTGGCATCTTCAGAGGATCTGAGGCAAAAAATCAGGAGAAAATGCTGCTAGGACACAGTCATACAGCCCGGAAACTGCACACCATCTCAATGAATCCTTCCATGAAATCCTTCAACAAAACAACCCTAGGATTGGTTTGTTGTAGGTTTTTCGGACTGCATGGCCATGTTCTAGAACGCTATTTCTCATTGAATGGCCTTGCAATTTTCAAGCCTGGCCGCTTCCTGCCTGGGATAATCCTTTGTTGGGAGTTGTTAGTTGGCCCTGATTGTTTCCTGTCTGGAATCTCCCCCTTTTTGAGTCTTGCTCTTTATTTATTTATTGCTCCTAACAAAAGATTCTCAAAGGCAGGAAGCGGTCAAGCTTTGAAGCTCCAAGGCCATTCAATTTTAATCAAGCTGGCCAATTGCAACATTCACACTTGCCTCCAACAGACAAGAGTTCCTTCTCCCATCCTGGTCATTCCACAGATATATAAACCCCACTTGCCTAGTTTCCAACAGACCTCACAACCCCTGAGGATGCCTGCCATAGATGTGGGTGAAATGTCAGGAGAAAATGCTTCTGGAATATGACAATTCAATTCTTCTGGAATATGACAATTCAACCCAGAAAACTCACTGCAACCCAGTTTGGGAACAGCTGTCATAGAGAGTGTGTGTGGGGTTTTGGTGAACTGTGACACTGGAAATTAGGGTTCAATTTCCCATTGTGTGACCTTAGGCAAGTCACACTCTCAGCCTCAGAAAACCTTGATAGGTTTGCCTTGTGTAACTTAAAGGCACACGACAATAACAAAGCATTTCCATGGTTTACTGGCATGTGATCTATTTATTAAGTCTTCTTCTTGTGTTTATACATTTATACACACACAAACACACACACAACATGCATGTAAGCACAGGTTGGGAATGTGACTTTTTGGCCTACAACTCAAAACCTATAGGATCATTGGTGATTCTGGGAGTTGTAGGCCAAAATTGGTACTTTTCCAAGCAGTGTCTATACTACTGTGACCGAATATGTATATTTTAATTTAAAGTTAATATGTATGAACTTCAAACAGTTAAGGGTGTAATTACGCCTGTGTTAAGCAATTTTGGAAACTGTATGTACTTTCTTTGAAGACTCAAAGGAATGATGGCACATACCAAAACTCCCTGCAGCTAGGCATTCTCAGCAAACATCCTCACAACCAGTAGGCACCTATTGAAATTGGTGATAAATGGTGGAATGTGGATGATCTTTTGCCCATTTTGGTTTATGGTGCAAAGAAGCATAGGTTGCCTTCAAGTTGCCTGTCGGCTTATGGTGACCAATGAATTTCATAGGGTTTCTTCGCGAAGAATATTCAGTAGTGGTTTTGTTAGTTACTTCCTATAAAAATAGCCCGTGGCCCCTGGTATTCATTGATGGGTGTTCCATTCAAATATCTATGAGTACTGATCCTGCTTAACTACCAAGGTCAGACGGGATCTCATGCCTTTAGGGTGTTTAGGGAGAGCCAGCATGGTATGGCTTGAATGTTGGACTGCGACTCTGGAGACCAGAGTTTCATCCCTGCCATGAAAACCCACTTGGTGACATTATAATGATGTTTATATTATACTAGCTGTCCTCTGCCCAGTCTGGTGATCTGGAAAATAAAGTAATGCAAAAGTGTTGGTTTCTAATATATGTAATTTCTTTATGATTGTGTGTCTCTAGAACATGGCTCTATAGCCCGAAAAAAACCCACAAGAACCTAGTAAACATTATTTCTTGCCGTTTCTTCGTTAGTGTTGATGTAAAGATTGTCTGGTTTGCCTACTCTGGAACAGGCAACATATAATTGTCCTTCTTTATGTTCCCTTTCAAATCTATGATAATATATCTGTCATATATATATGAGTATGTGAATCATATATATCTATCTATATCTATGGCTCTTTATCAGGAGGGATTTGATTATGTTTTCTTGCCCTGGTAAAGAGAGTTGGACTGGATGGCCTTAAGGCAGCATTTTTCAACCTGGGGGTTGGGACCCCTGGGGAGGGTTGTGAGGGGGTGTCAGAAGGGTCACCAAAGACCATCAGAAAAAACAGTATTTTCTGTTGATCATGGGGATTCTGTGTGGGAAGTTTGGCCCAATTCTATCATTGGTGGGGTTCAGAATGCTCTTTGATTGTGGGTGAACTATAAATCCCAGTAACTATAACTCCCAAATGTCAAGGTCTATTTTCCCCAAACTCCACCTGTGTTCATATTTGGGCATATTGAGTATTTGTGCCAAGTTTAGTCAATAATGATAATAATAATAATAATAATAATAATAATTATTATTATTATTATTATTGAGGCCAAGCCCAAACAACAAATACAACAGAGTAAACCGAAAGCGCAAACGCGAACAATAAACAACAAAGTCATAATTACATAAAACATGTGAATATATAACAATATAAAATTACAGTAAGCACGGACACAGCGACAATGGGCGGGCTAGATGTAATGATTAAAAGAAAAACTGATTAAAAACTAATTTAAAACTTGGGCGAGATAAAAAGGAAGCAGTCTCTAGATCCTTCATTGTTTGAGTTCCCAGTGCTCTCTGAATGTAGGTGAACTACAACTCCAAAACTCAAGGTCAATACCCACCAAACCTTTCTAGTGTTTTCTGTTGGTCATGGGAGTCCCGTGTGCCAAGTTTGGTTCAGTTCCATCATTGGTGGAGTTTAGAATGCTCTTTGATTGTAGGTGAACTATAAATCCCAGCAATTACAACTCCAAAATGACAAAATCAATCTCCCCCCAACCCCACCAGTATTCAAATTTGGGCATATCAGGTATTTGGACCAAATGACAAAATCAATTTTTGAGTGATAGTCACTCCTTGGGTTAGTAGGTGTCTTGTGGCCAAATTTGGCGGCAATTTATCCACTGGATTTTGAGTTATGATGTCACTCAAAATGAACAGAGCATTTATATATATTGTCGAAGGCTTT